AAAAAAAACACGACAGCGTGTCGTGTCATGTTCATGTTGTACAAAAAAGTTTCGTGTCATGTTGTATCAGACAAAAACACGACACGACTGCCCGATTTGACAACCCTATGTACTCATCAGGTTTCCCAACCTAACCCACTCGAGCTTATTTATATTATAGGTGTTGATACGAAGTTACATTACACTGAGAGATTAAAGATGTGTAGATCACTAGTGTAAATGAATGTAAGTTCTGTTTATGCTTATGTTTCTGTATTGACAATGACATCCCAAATGTTTTAAAATGAATAAAAATACATTTCTTCGGAAATGCTTTGATAACGTATTTATCATGATTTACTGGGAACAAATTCCGCAACATTTTTATTAAAAGAAGTACTCTGATTTTTATAAATCATAAATAAAATCGATCTTTTTTGGTTGTGAAAAATGGGGATGTTACACTTAAGCTCGACATGTTATAAAAAGGTTAAAATATACGAATATTTTTATGAAATGTAGCGAATACTCGGTTTGAATCGATTGCAAAGGTTTTAAAACTGTTAAAAAGGTTTGTATAAACACAAAGTCCTTGTGTTTTACTTGTATTCTCCCCCTAAAAACATTAAAGACGTTGAAAAGGTAGGGGTATGAACTCACCTCTAGTATGTGTCGTGTAATGATAGCAGTACTGTAGGGATGATCCTCAGATTGAGATGCGCGGTCTAACGGTATCATAATAAGAGTTAAACACATAATCATATTTAAATTAGCGAAACCATTAATTAAAGTGTTAGAAACACTTGTTTTGTGTTAGGAATAATTACCAAGAATTGTTTAAGTGTTGAAGAGGGTTTTCGGTTCCAAAGGGGTTCTCTCTCCTAAAACGGGTTCTTGACCGAACATAGGTTCTCGGTCCTGGGTGTTTTCAGGAAGATTTGAAGGATGTTCTTAGTGTTCTTGGTGAAAATATGATGATTTGAAGGTTTTCACTTGAAGGTATGAATGTTCTTCGATGATCCTTGGGAGCAAAATGAGAGTTTTTTTGAGTGTAAATGGTGAGAAATGATTAAGTTTTCGAAGGAAAAACTTATATATAGTTGGATTTCCGGCCGGAAAAGAGATTTCGGCCGAAATCAGTTTTCTGTCGAAAAGGGTTTTGGTGTGAGGGTTTTCGGTTCCGATGGGAAAGATGTTGATTTTTTGAGTGTTTTTGATTCCAAAAACTTATATAAACATTATTTATATAATTTAAATTATTTTCTAACCTACACGGATTCATCGGATTTTACTTTAAAAATAACGGATTGTTACAAGTTGGGCCATATGTGGGCCTTGGATGGTTAATTGGTTTTGGATCTTTTGGATTGAAAGATTGGGCCTTAGTCTTGGGCCAATATAGGAAGGGGTAAAATGGTCTTTTTACCTAAATTATGAACTGAAGGATATAGATTCGACTCAAATTGTTAATTAGGTGTTACTTGATATTGATAGCTCGAGGAATTGTCAAACCAGCAACCAGGGATTATCAGTGTGATTCAGTAGTGTGAGGTGAGTCTCCTTACTATAATATGGGTTGAAGGCACCAATGTCGAACCTATTGGTTTATGTATTATCAGCAGACCAGGGGCAGCCTTTGGTGTTTGTATGAAAGACCAGGAGTTGGCTCCTAGCAAATCTGTATGCAAGATTAGAGTTTCGACTCTGGTAGTTAAGTAGATAAGTAGTTATAGGTTGTATGCTAGTTGTCCGTGTGATGCTTGCAATGGAATACCAGGAGGTGGCTCCTGGCACTTGTCTGTAAGACCTACGGTTTTGGTCCTCGTTTTGGCAAGGAAGACCATGATATGGTTCATGGCATAATGGCAAGACTATGGTTGGCACATAGCACCTCCTATTAAATGTTGGATATGTTAGATAAGGTGTCTAAGTCCATAACTATAATTGGTATGTACTTGACCTAAGAGTAGCATGGTTCATTTTGGGTTGCATTCACCAAAACAATCTGATAGGATGAACATTTGAGAAAGAGGTTATTTATGATTCATTAATATATTATAAGTATAATATATTAGTAGAGGAATCATATTATTTCATTAGTATTGGTCAAGAATTAATTTTGAATTAGTTTAGTGATCAAAAGAGATTAATTAAGTATACAAGGGTTGATTATGTAAATCAATGATATATATATATATATATATATATATATATATATATATATATATATATATATATATATATTGGGCTAATAATCCGTGGTGGATTAGTTATGAGCTTTTGCTTATGTAAAAATCCATAAGGTGTTAGTCCATTACAAGCCCAAGTGTATGGATTAGGGTTTACCGATGACCTTTCGATCCTTACACCATATATATATATATATATATATATATATATATATATATATATATATATATATATGACCCCTATGGCCTAAAATAAGTTACCCTTGTGTTCTTAGAGTTCATAAAGCCTATTTAAGGCATCACACTTGGGGTGCTAAGTTCTTAAAGGTCAAACACAACAAGCTACAACAAGAGGTAATTCTATAACTAGTTTTATGATTCATATGTCATATTTTATGCTAGATTAGGGTTCATGCTTTGGAAAAAGTTGTTTGCATATATAACTAGAGAAAACTTAGATCCAAAGCATCTATGGTTACATGTGCACCATAGGAGTGTTATAGTGCTCAAACCCATCAATGGTATTGGAGCTTAGGGTAGTTTTCTGTTATATTGTTGCTTTTTTGATTGTTCAAAGTTGAAGCAAATTGAAAAAGGCCTTCTGCCAAGATGATCTCGCCGAGTCCATTGATGAACTCGGCGAGTCTAAAGTCTGACTCGACGATTTGCACTGGTAGATGGCAAATTTCGGGTTTTTTTGGTCTATATTGGACTAGGATCACTACCACAGACTATTTTGTATCATAAAATCTTTTGATTTGGCAGTGATTGTACTCATCCATTCAAAATATGATTGTAAAAATTTTAAGATAATTGTTGGTTTATATGATAAACAAAATTACTTGTAAATTGTTGATTTGATATCATCTTGAATTATGAGTTTGGTTAGATCAATCCTAGATTATATGATAATTTTATTTGTTAAAATTGATCTAAATGGTGTTAATGAGTTCCATAACTTGTTCTCTAGTTATGGAACATGAAAAGTCTCATCCATTAAAATGACATTAAACTCGTTATGGAAATGAAGAGTTTTGAAGAGTTTCAAAACTTGTCATCAAGTTTTGGAATTTGTAAAGTCTCACTAATGAAACATTTAATTCCAAACCCTAGAATTTTAAAAGTTTAAAATTCAACCCTTATACTATTATAATATTATGAGTTTAATAATTATATATATGTACACTACTAGAAAAACAGTCTTTTATGACGCTCATTGCACGTCGTAAAAGGCTTAGACGACGCGCAAATGCGCGCTAAGGAAGGCCCTGTCATAAAGAGAGACGACGCGCATTTACGATGTGCAGTTACAACACACGTTTACGACACACAATGCGTATCAAGGAAGGCCCTGTCATAAAGGAAGACGACACGCATTCGCATGTCGTAACCTTACGACGCGCGTGTTAATGACACGTAGTGCGTATCAAGAAAGCCCCTGTCAAGAAAGGTCATGTCACAAATGAAGATGACACACATTTTTGCGTATCATAATTTTAAATGTTTAAAAAAAATATAATTTATAGATTTACTTATTTTCAAATTAAATTTGTATTTAATGTTTCATAATAGAAAATAAAATATCATATACAAAAAATAGAATCCATTGCATAAATTTAATGTCATATAATTCTATTTCTTACAATATATAAATTTGCATCTAATCTACTATGTACATCAAATTCCAACTAACTAAAGTTGCATCTTGCCTTTCATAATTCTTTAAGACTAATGCTCCAAACAGCTGATTATATAGATAAGCAATTGTACATTGGCCCATCTCACTTAATAATGACTTAGCCAAATTCAACTCCAAGTCTTTACTGCATCTTGTTGATAATGTTGCAAGATTTAAATCAAATTCAACTCCAAGTCTTTACTCAATAATAAAAATCCCAAGAGCAACATCAATTGTAGAGGCAAGTTCATTTTGAAAAAAAAAAACATAGTCTACTATAATAAGTTAAGGTTTTTTTACATGTCATCTTCTCATGCATTTGGACACATGACATTTTCTAGAATTTTTAAATTTTGTATTTTCCACTTGTCATTTTGTTGTATTTTTCGTTTTATAAAATTAAAATTTCACATTTAATATGTAAGGTAATATATATGTAAAGTATTTATTAGAAATGGTTTATATATGTAATGTATTCAATACATTAAAGTCTCATTAATTTTAATAATTCAAAAATTTTCTTATTTTTCTTATAAATTCAAACTATTTAAATTATTAAAATTTCATATTTATTTTTTTTAATTAAACCCATGTAATACATGGGTCTCACACCTAGTATTTATAATGATAAGGATGTGGAGGGTATACTGTAAAAACTCAGACATGGCTATAATGGAGATAACAGGGATAGATATATATACCTTAAACAAATTAGCTTCTAGATCAGATTGAAAGTTGCAAAAAAACTAATATATGTTAAGGTAGTATTTGAAGGATGTAATATGATGACATACACGTCCAGAAGGCTATTATCTATGAGCTTGACCAACACCAAGGGCGTTATTGGTAGAAATAATGTTACTATTTGTAGGGTTGATAGGGATAATGTCTCCTCACTTTGTTCATGTATTGAAGCTCCTTGTTGAATATATTATGTTTTTCTAGGCATATGGGAACATGGGGAGGCGTCTTATGGGGGTAGATTTGTCATTTGACATACCGGTGACTGAACTGGAGGTGAAGACAAAGCATTTTCATGAAATTTTTTGTTCATATGAATTCCTTCTACATAGGGCATTTAAGCCAACTAACTTGACTAAGTTGAAATGGTTTCTAATTGAAACTAGTTTCTAGATGATGAATGGAATATAAATTCAAGTAGGGTTTTGAAGTTTGAACAACATATATGTTGTTACCTTAACGAGGTCAGGTGGACCAATGATAACAAGATCTTCAAGTGCTTCTACTTTGTCTAGTGATAAGGTGTTGTATAACATATCAACATCCTCAAAGTCATCAAAATCCTCCTGCAGATGAAATGGTTTGTGGTGGTTTTAGATGCTTTGTGAAAAGTGAAAACAACAAGAATCTTTTATCATGAATTTGACAAGGTGGCATAGAGGAGAGAACCTCAAAGAAACTATTGAGAAAATGTGAAAGGGAAAAAGGTATATGATGACCTGATATCGTTCCACATAGTCATCAATGAAGTCCTTAACATCATTGACTTGTTCCTCCAAAAATAGGATGCATACCAGTAAGGGTGCTTCTTCCTTCTTGTACTTGTTGGAATCTGGTGCTATTTCAGTTCTTCCATGGAATGGTCCTTATTAAAAAAAGTATTTTAGTTAATGTAGATACAATGTATAGTATAGAAATATATATAGCATACCCCTTCATGTTGACTTTGGAAGGAACCACCAGGTCTCCACTGAATGCCAGGAACACCAGAAGGTGAAAAGACTCTTGTGCCCATGCCACCACCATTTCCATTATCCTTATCAGTACTTTTGACACCACTTTGTGGCAACATCATTCTACTACTCAAAGATGAAACAGGAGGATGCTACTGAACCATTCTCTCATCTGTCCCTAACATAGGCCTCTTAGCCATTTCAGAAGCTTGACCTACACCAAGGGCATTATTAGTAGAAATAATGTTACTATTCGTAGGGTTGATAAGGATAGTAACTGAAGATTGACTTGTCAAACTGGTCAAACTGCCCCTCCCAAGATTCCTTAATCCGGATTCACTAAGGGCAGGAGATGATTTACTAACAGGGAATCCTACGACTTCTTCTTCCTTGTTTATAGGTGAGGAAGGGATGGTGGAGACTAAGACTGAATTATCTAAAACGCCCCTCACCGGACTTGGACTTCGAGGGACTGAAAAATGAAACAAAGTAAATGAATATCTCACCATTTTCCCATATTATAAATAACTAATTATAGGGCTAAACACAACAAAGTACATGGATTTAATAGAAAGAGATGAAATAGGATGTTATAATACACGTGTAAAAGAAAGTATGTTTTTGTTTCTTGCATTTAACAATAAATAAGAAGTGTAATAAAAAGTAAAAAGTAACCATGCGTAGATCCCGGGGCAGGAGTACTCCTTCGCAAAACTGTAGGTCAAGTTGGCTTCCACAACAATAAAGTTGTGAGTCACTTCATTTCTCTTTTTCTTTCTGACTTAAAAAAGACACATCAAATCTGGATCGTAAAGTTTAAAAACAATATTAAATTCCAAAATTTATAAATATGTAACAAGTATAAGTAAAAAACAGAGGATTAATTACCTTATTGTGGGTTGCTGAACCACCGTATTGAAGTGGTAAAGTGTCACCCATTTTTTCATAAACTTTCATTAAATTCCCTGCTAAATTGGAATCAAGCTCAATAACTGTGGTGTCATTGTATCCCATGGTATGAAGTTTCTTACGTGTAACAAATATTATTTGTTAAAGATTGAATTTCATCAGCATTCAGCAGTGAAATTGTTCACATCCCATAGAACATGATAATGAGAAGGTCTGCTAGTTCCTTGTAGAGAAATAAGAATGTAGTTTTATTAATTTATTTATTATGGCGTCCAACTCTTATTAAATGATTGTTTAATTATCATACTTGGAGTCCTGCATGACTGCAATGGTAGAAGTCGAACTCAACTGGATGACAAATCTTTGTGTCCACAACCGTACCTACAAATCACCACGTATAGCGACCTACCTTTATATATATTTTTTGGGATTTAAGATGATGATAAATATGAAATATTTTTTGAAAATGAAAAAGATACAGGATATATGTTTCTACTTTTTTCGGTGCATTTTCGGTCGTTTTGGTTGTTTGGAAAGAGGCACATGTGATGGCTTTTTTGGACAACAATGAATGTGACTGGAGGTTGGTAATTAGGTTTAAGAGAAGCACAAGCCTACAGAATGTTGAAAATATGATTTTAAATAATAGAAATTTCTGATTAATCATTTAAAGCAAATACAAGTAATAGGTATCTCAGAATTATTTATAAACCAACCTTACGAATTGCATCTAGCTCATAGAGTAGGACCTGATAGAACTATCCATCACATACATCATCTCTGTAAATAAAAAACAAAGTGAGGATTGGATATATATATATTTTTTAAATTGCACCAGTTGAAATTATATATATATATATATATATGTGTGTGTGTGTGTGTGTGTGTACCTATAAAATATGATCCTCATTGTTTTTTTCCCTGTATTTTCAAATATCTGAGTTACTACATCACCCAACCTATGAACATCCATAAAAACACATATTTTCTTTTACCCACCCCCAAAAAAGTGAAACAAGGTAGGATAGGGACATGCTTCAGACCTCTCGTCTGTGCAAAAGACATAAACACCCCTCATATCAAACACAATATGTAATATGCACCTGATCATGCCTCCATTGACTTTTCCACATTGAGGATCTTGCCAGGTTTTATACAAGTCCTAGATAAGTTCTTGCCTGTGAGGTTGAGCACTAACTAGCCCTACATATTTTGTAACTTCTAGCTAGTATTGAGAGGAAACAACCTTTTTTTTTTAAAAATAGTAGTAAGAAAAATTACAATATTATATGCAAATTAAGCAACATGTGTTTGATCTCAACAGTCTATATGAAAATAGTCTTCTAGCATCATTTTTGTGATTTGTTATAATATGAATCTACAAGAGTTATGATCAATTCTAATGATTAACTAATCAATTGGTCTATCTGTTGGATGGAATAATAAAGTAATATTATGGACAAGCTAATGGAATGAGTTATTACATTCCATTATCTTTTTTGGCATGGAATGGTCATTTAACTATATTGTTTGAAATGCATTAATAATTTAATATACACATGAACTAAATTAAGTTCTTAAGCGAAGAATAAGTTGTCTTTCATGTAAATAAAATCTAATTAATTAAAAAATTGTGAGATACTATCAAGTATGAAGGTTTTATTAATTTTCTATGTTATATTTAAATGTGCGTATAAGATAATATGGGTTCTAGCCACTGCATAATTTAATTAAAAAACAATAAAAAAAAAAACCATATTTGGCCAGTATATCACTAGGTCACTAAGTCTTAAATAAAGGAAATATAATTTTTATGAATGTAATAGTAATATGAACTTTTTACTGGAATCCAAGTGTGACAAGATCTTTTTCAGATGATACAACAACTGATCTAAAGTAGAAAGGAATGAGAGGTCTAACCAACATCACAACATACAAACACCAAACAAAGATGTGACCAGTTGTTACCTTAGCATTTCAAGAATATTTGGCCAGCTATAACACAACTTATCACCATGTCTCTGCAAAAAAAATCCCCGAAAAAAAGGACATGAACATTGAACCATGAAACAAAGTAAAGCACATACTCCATTCATCCCACTAAATTAGAGGATTATAAACTCTCGAGTAAATTACAAAAAGTAAAAAATGGTACATGTAGGATAGTAAATGACAGATTTACCCCCCTTTTGTCCCTTTGTTTTTTATACACACCATTCGTAATGATTCCAATGGAGTTATATTTTATGATTATGATAAAAATAATATTACAAATAAAAAACAAGAGGGTAAATAGATTATTTTATGATGTTAACACATAAACAGTTAGAATTAACGACCCACAGACCAAAACCGCAACAAATTGAAACCATGTAACAAAATCTGTAATTGGGTTATGTAAAAAAAATTCAATTGATATCGGGCATCTTTAAATTGGAACCAAAAGAGTTTATATGGGAAAGATGATATACCAAATACACACACACACATACTTGAACCTTTAAAAGAAATTAGTATTAACAGTACGTACCTGCTAAGTAGGAAGATACTTCCCCCTATAATTAAATATTACATCCTTCTCACTTATGTCACCACTATTGCTAGTTTGAAGTTCCACCTGACTAATAACATCTAAAGTACTTAGATATCATATTATAAATCAAAGAATAACATCTAAAGTGTCATATTATAAATCAAAGAATAACTTCTAAAATATCATGTGTTTAGATGTTACTTACCTCATTTGGCAGAAAAACGATTGGTTGCTGATCAGAATCAGAGCCAACATCAAGAACAATTGATGTAAACTCTCTTCCTCCTCCAAGAAAATTTTCAACTATAACCTTATCATCAATCCCCTTACAAGTTTAAGAAATAAAATCATATCAATAAACTTAAGGGAATAAGTTTTAAATTAAAGAGCAATGAAAGAGAAACCATTGTGTAAAAAAAGGCAAGCACCTCTGACATAATTTCTCTATCTTTGGTTAACGAATCATCAACACCATAGGAAACTATAACTCTAATACTTGATCCTGCTCCTATTGGTTTTACCTGAAACTATGTCAGTAAACAAATAATGATCTCTTGTACGTTCACTTAGTCTTGTATACATCAGGTGATGTTATAAGGTATGATTTATATGATATTGCTCTTTCAAGCATTTCGTCAAACACTTGGAGTACATAGCTCCTCTCCTTCCTTTTCTGACCAATTTATTGGAAATATCACCAATTTGAGAGCATCAAGACTAGAACAGCCCAAAAGGCTGAGCCTTTTCAAATGTGTGTGTTTTATAAAGAACTCAGTTTACCTTAAATTTGCAGCAGTTAGAGAAAGGACAAAAGAATATCAAGGTTCATCACCAATTCGTTGCACCTCACATTTTGAATCTTTATACATCAAATGATCATAAGAATTATCAAAAGTTCCAATTCAAAACAAATTTTCCAAGGGTAAAAATGTCAGAATATGTAACACTCATGTTTCTAGCCTAGGCATTTCTATTGAGTTGATAGTCTGGGTTAACATTTGTAACTCATTTTGAAGAAATGAAAAGGAATTATGTGAATATTATTTGAATTATGTGTTTTATGCTTAATTATTAGGGTTTATTTAATTAAGAATAAAAATAAGCGTCAAAATTAAAGTTTGAGATAAGCTTGATATCTTTACATAAACTTGTAGTGCTTGAAACAAGGATTTCGGGGATATAAAGAATACCAAAATCCGAGTTGTAACGAAGAAGTTATGACCTGTCGAAGTTTCGCGACAAAACCGGCACGGTGCTGAATGTCGTAAAAAGTGACTTTTTGATAAACTACTTTTTAGCCTTATTAATCTAAAATAAACTCGTAGTATTCTTCAAACCTAGAAGTTCGATAAAAAGAACGCCCAAATATGACTTCGTATGACGAAGTTATGATTTATCGAAGTTTCAGCTTAGCAGTAGACATCTAAAAACTCAAATTTTAGATCGAGCGATTTTTAGCCAACACAACCTAAACGAGAATTGAAGGTCTCATCATTAGGAGCACAACGGTAAAAAGTTTGACGAAAACAGACGTCGGATGAAGAAGTTATGAATTTTTAAGGGATTCCCTGTCCCCGTCTGTTAAAAATAATAATATAAAATTCAAACTCAAAATCAGCCGACGAAGTCTAAACGGAAGTTGTAGAGCGTAATTTTAGCTACGCGTGCATATAAAGAACGTAAAAAACAGAGCTCGTATGCAAAAGTTATGGATTTTAGAAGTTTTTGCACAAAAACCGAGAAAATTCGCATATGTGGCTTCGGCCACGTCACCCTCGCAGCATGCTTGCCACGTGTCCTCGCTACGCATGCGCCACGTATCTGAGCTGCTGAGTCACGAAGCCACCAGCCGAGACGTGTTGCCTGCCCTCGCACCCGAAGTCCGGTCTAGTAGAGGTCCGATGCGTGTTCTACTCCCAGTGTCCGAGCCTCACAATGCCTACCTCGTATCCTCTTCTGATTCGACCAAAGGGAGGCCCAATCCGAAGCTCGCATCCGGACCGAACCTTGCACCGCCTAGCCTCCGAACCTCGAATGTGGACCAGTAGACCGCGGTCCAATTAGAGA